ACATATTTTAATTTACAAAGTTCACAAAGTACACTTAATATTAGCTGCCTTGCTTACCTGATTTTAAGGATCGTAATGACGCTTGTAAATGCAAATCTACCATAACTGCAAATGTAGTAAGGAAGACCGTAAAACTTGACCGTGTACTGCACCGTATATTGATTGAGACCCTATCTAATGGAATATTGGTTCTAAAATATCGTTTTACCGGAAAGGTGAATCTAAAACTTGAATAAGTAGCACGGTTAGTATAATAAGGCAAAGATTTTTAAGAGTGGCTTGTTATTGAAGTTAAAAATGCAATGATTGGTTAAAGCGTAATATAGAGCTCTGATGATATTTTCTCAATCGATATTAGTGATTTTTCTGGCGAGCTTGTAACGGCCAGTAGCCAATGAAAAATTCAACAGTAGGCATAGATGTACGCTCCGTAAAATAATGTCAAGGACTTTATAAAACCACTTTAGATCCCAAAAGCGCTGCGTGTCCATGAATATACAGCTCCAGTTTGGCAACCGGAAGCGAAGTAGTTCGAGGTAGTTTCGTGGTGAATGTAAACAATCCTAATATTAAATATTTACCCTTCCACACACGAGAAGGTACGATTCGTACGGATATCCAGGGGTGATGGTTCGTGTATCTTAACATCTCTCGATCCACTAAAGATATGATAATTTCATAATCTACCTGACCACTCTAATATGTCGGACAAGCGCAATAACGAATTGAACATTCCTGTTTCCTCTACTGTGTGTGCGCTGGTGATTACACTAAGCAACAACAACAACAACAACAACTAGAAAAACTGCTGTTTGTAAACAAAAGTTATGAAAAGAGTAAAACATCTTCGGCCACCATCTGTTTAGCCGGCAGTGTACATATTCTGCATAAAGTTGCAGGAAATTGAGGTCATGTGCACGCATACGTAGAAATAGCTTTTTGCGATTGTCATCTTAACAAAATGTAGGTTATTATGCCATAATCACTATACTCTCTTTTCTATATAGAATGTATATCAAAAATAGTAAAATTCGTTACAAGCAAGCATAAAAACTATCCATGAATGGGAAATGGTTTTTCCACTATACAAATCTCTTACTAAATTTGCTTTACACACATTTTCTATACACAGGTTGTACATGTTCACATTTGTTCTCTATGTTGACCATTAAGGTGAATTAGGAGCTACACAAGAACAAACTATGTTTTCCTGCACATTATAAAAGGAATTCGTTGGAACAAATAAATCATTTAAAATAAACGGTTTATCAAGTTTGACACAAATATTGAAACAATAGCATTTAGCTCAGCTTCGTACAATATAATTAACGGGCATATCTAGCACGTCTGAAGAATCCATTAAAATTATACAAGTATTTTTCTATTCGAAGACTTTTACAATTGATTTAAGATAAAAAGCTTTTAACTTAGCTAACAGCAACAATGTAATCGTTTATCTTGACAAACCATTGTAGAAATGGTTATACAATCGGTACAAAAATACCGCAGTATTGTAAATTGCTTGAATTGAAAAAAATTACTGTGCAATTATCTTGCTGTAGCTATGAAAAACATTTGACGAAATCTTCCAATTACGCGTAGCACATGTGACCCATTATCTACATTTATACACTTTTTACTTAGAAAGTGGCTTTTACGCAAAGGAAGATAATGAAAAGAGCAACTGGCGCCAGGTAGGCCTAGTTCGCCCATTATTCATATCTGCTTGTGATTGCAATTAAAACATTGTCAAGCGAAATCGGGACAAACTTGTGAATAATTTAAAATTCTAGATCAATTATTCATCAATTAATTGCACGCAAAACACAATTGCTTTACATGATGAAATTATTCACAATCTATATACATATATGTATATATATATATGTATTCCTGTCTATATACATATATGTTTTTCATGAAATATTTTGTGACATAAAACATGTAAAAATGGCTTACTATTAAATACCCGACACCGCCCTACAGTTAGTTATTCATAGTAAGCTCTTCAAAGTAGATTCTTTTAGGGGAAGCCATTGAAAAAGTGGTTCAATCCTCACCATTTTCAATAGCATTCGAAACACGGCGAAAAAAGGCAGTGTGCCGGTATCTCCAAATAAACCCGCTTAGAGTCGCTTTGTAAATTGATCGGCCCAGAACCTATCGACTCAAAAGCATTTTCTGAATCGATATAAGCAGGTCTGTAAATCTGTCTGCCTGTCTGTTTATTTGTCGTACGTAAATTTGTGTTCAATATACAGGTCGGAATTTTCGAGATATTTTGATGAAATTTCATATAAACATTCTTACGAGAACTGAACCTTTATATGGTGAAAAGGTACAATTTTCAGTATTTGATGATGAAAACGGGTTCATAATAGTAAATTGACGAACAAGTTAACCTTATCCAATTTGGACCACGTAGGTCTAATTTTCCGATACCACCGCATTTGAGGATTCGCAGGAAATGTAAACCCTTATATGCCAAATTGCCAATGTTTTATGATAAAAACTTGTTTTTGGTAATAACTTGATATAAAAATTAAGCGGATGAAATTGGAACCACGTAGGTCTAATTCCTGTGCTCCACTCCATATATGATTTTTCATGAAAAATGTTTGCTTTTCAATATTTTACGATAAAAACTGGTCTGGCAACAAATTAACAGTACGGAATTACATCTTATAGGAAAGCAAGCTTTTGCATGTAGAGAGAGTATAAGTTCCATTCTTCTGTAACGGAAATTGCAATACAATAACATTTTTGGGGAGTAAATTAAGTTTGCCCAATTTGGATCGCGTCGTATGATGTTTTGGGAGTCCTAAAGTACGCTTTTGCCTGAAAATATTGTGTAATGTGACGTACAGACGGACAAACCAGCTTAGATCGATTCAGAGTTGTTTTCTAAATTATTTTCCAAACAGATCGGGGTAATAAAAGGTAGGCCTGTCTCAAGTGCTTCAGGGTGTTATATACATCCGCATAAACTTAATACACCCTGTACACAAATAGACCAATGCTGTCATTTAGAATAGTTTTTCAGAAGTACGTAATGCACAACACTCCCCAACTAGTTTATAAAGTTCTTTTAACCGATTAATATTTATTATAATTCTCTCTACGAACATGTAGTTCAAATAATAATTTCGATGTTTACACCATTCACCCCTTGTGCCACAAGGACTTCAGATAGGTCCATCTCTTAGTATATTGTTGAATTTACAATCAACAACAACAACAATTTTCTGTATAACTTTCTGAATCAATCTATACTTGTCTGTCTATCTGTCCTTCTGCTAACTGCCATTGTATTCATGTGTGCAACGTACAGGTCGCAAATTTTTGAGATTTTTTGATTAAATTTGGTCTAATAAGTAGTGTAGAGTATCTAATGGTCGGCCTTGCTCGGCTATAATATTCTTACTAGTTTCTTTGAGAATAGAATATATAATCCGATATATACGAGTTATATTTTAATGATGCACTGCACGATTTTTAGTCTTTTTTTTTTTCTTATCTGGTACTGTTTCTTGTCTTTAATATTTCTCTTGTCCGTAAGTACACTGTACATTTACGACTTGTACAAGTTTTTTATCAAATCTTCTTCGCGCGTGAACATGGGTTAAATATCTATTTTTTTATCTAAAAATGTTTTACACGTAAGTCAAACACATCTGTGAGAAAATGTAAGTCATATTTTGGAGACCTTTTATATGAAACGTACACACATATACGCAACGCTCAAAATAATTCCTTCTTCAAATAATAAACCGACTATTGTCTCTTTTTAAAGTTTGCGTTCTTGTACAAAAATATGATAAACATTTAAAATTTTCGAAATAACCGCCTCGCCATTGATGGAAAACTAATGTAACCCCTCTCACATATTTATGAGCAGCAAGGGAAATATATATTTGAAATACTATCAAACATAAATTGACGCCGATCCATGCACCATGGACGTCGAAATAGGGATCGAACCAATTATTAGCATATGCACTTATGGCACTATTGAAACATCTAACAGGTTAGCAGGAAAATTCTATCGTATATTACTACTTGCAGGCCATTTTACTCATTAGGTCAAAGTAACCAAGTAGAACCTCTTATGAGGTTTTATTGTTTAGCATAGTTCTCGTTATATACCAGTACTACTTGCAATTACCTCCATCAGTTAGTTGCGAAGTTTATATTAAATAAAGTGTAATGGGCAAAGAGGTTTTCAGACCGAATTTGGCATGAATTCAAGAAAGGAAGCAACTCATGGGCTGCTTGTAAAAACTTATCTGACACATTGGGAAATTAAGTTGTAAATATTCGGACCTGTCAAAGATAGTTTGCCAAATTTCGTCCGTCCGCGTTCGAGAGTATCCCAGAACTAACCGTTTTGCAATTGCAAAGGAACTCAGCATCCACTTTTGGATTGCTGTGGAACACATCATACATCCAATTCTAATGCTTCATCTAATATACGACATAAGCTTCCCGCCAACCTAATATTAAGCCATTATTAGCCTTTTGTGAGTCTATCTTAACCTTGCAAAGCTAAAGCTAGGAAAGGTTATGATCAGCTCAGCCCATTCAAAGAAACTCTATCTACTTCAGACCCAATTCATTTCATTTATATTATAATTCGTCTTTTGTCTCGTTTCTGAGACATTTAAAGTGCTATCGTCGAAACCAGCAGTGAATAGATATTGGGTACACCGATCGCAAAAACCCAGCCGGCGACATATCAACATGGCGTTGAAAGAACAAGAGTAAGGCAGAACTCGTTACGGCAGCGCCTAGTCCTTCCACTATCGATTCATCATGAGTGCAATTCTATTCGGTCGCAACTCTCGAACAAATGTGAAAGATCATCTAGACTTACTAAGAGACTAGTTCAAGGGGCTCGTAGCAAGCAGCTCTGAGGCCCCATCCCAACAATACTTTTGCGCTGCGAAATCCACTGCTTTTTAAATATTACAAACCAAAGGATAAAATTAAGATATCCTCGTAGAGCTTAGCGTAAGCCTTTCCAAAACTCAACCTTATATTAATTCAATGCCACAACTCTACTTACGTATGTTTTCACGTTAAGCGCAATGGGTTAAGTGAAATATTGTTTGAATAAAAGTAAAAAATATAATCAATTTTTTTCATTTCCAGTAACTTGCTTTTCCAATAACTTACACTTACAAAATGGGCAATTCTTTAACAAATCGTACGAAAACTCCCAACGGATCAACATATGCACCATCGATTTTGAACAAAAATACGTGGAAACGTGAAAGAAATCGCCAAGAATATGAATTAAGATCGAAAACTTTACCAGTACGTAGCAGTGCGCCTGCAGTAAATTTAGAGCCAACAGCCATAAAATCATTACCAAAAACAACAAAAACCGCAGCAACATCCGCGACAGCAACATCTGCACAAAACGCAGGCGAAACATCGCGTGTATTATTTTTATTGTATTTAATACATCGTACATGGAACGTTTTAACGGACAATAAAAGCAAAAGGTATACCGTACATACAAACATATTTATTAAGAATTATTTGAAAACTTTTTCACTCTTTTTATATTTCATTGCAGCTCTCATCACAGTCAATCCATGGCTAAAACAGTTAACGATTCGGCATATTTTGAATCGTCCGACTGTTCTTTGGCCGTAACAGATCTGCAAAGTGGCGGTGGCGGTGGCGGTGGCGATTCCATATCACAATGCTGTTCGCAGTACTCATTATGCAGCTGCAGTTCGTGTTACAATGAATTGCAACAACAAAATATTTATAGCTCTATAGACGAAGAGTATTCACAGGATTCGATAGGCGAAAAAGCGAAACATTTTAATAAAAGGTAGGTTTCTTTTTCCCCTTTCAACACCAGATGTACCGATATTTTCTATAAACCTTTTGTGATTCCTAAGGGAAAAAGGGAAAAGCACTACATTTTTATGTTCTAGACTATTGGATGGACGCGGCTGGTTTTGTCTGTTTTCAGAATAGGAGTTGAAATTTATACGGTGTGTGTGTGTAGTAATTCATGAGTAACAACCAGAAAACACGGAAAGCAGATGTGCTCACAGTTTTTGCTGCATAGACGTTTGGTCGTAGGCGTGTCCTTTCACGGGTTTAGGTTATTTTCACTTTTGTCGCAACTTCATAGGCGATATCTTCATTCTTGGTAAAGGGGTTTGTCATATGTACAACACATTTGGGTAGGGGGACAGATGGACAGACGAACAAACTGACATGTTAAGGCGCATTCTTCATTCATATCTCTACGTTCGCTAACAGAAGAATGTTTATCCCAAATACTACATATTTGGGTAAGCGGACGGATGGGCATGCTTAGGTATATTCGAAATTTGAAACCAGCCAAGAATTTGTAAAGTTTGTAGCGTTTTTGAGGCTTGTTTCTGCACGTTATAAAGGCACTGAATAGACAATTAAATTTGGATACATAAGGCGTGGGTAGGCGTCATCAATTTTTTCCATTTTTGCACAGGTACTACAGTCCCGCCCAAAGAACATGCATTCACATTTTGGTAAGTTTATCTGGTACAGATTATGAGTAATGGGCAAAACAGCAACTTTTTATTCCATTTGAATAACAGAGGTGCTCTCTGCTTGCGTGGTATTGTAGGCGTGTCCTTCGGCTAATCTGGCTCATTCTTGATATCAAAGTGTGTGCAAGATCTTCCAATGTTTCTGCAAAATTTAAAGACGATAGCTTCATTTTTGCGGCAGGAGAATGTTTACAACCGACATTGCACAGCTGGACAGACGGCCACGCTTAAATCGATTCAGAATTTGATGCTGATCAAGAGTGTATATACTCTGTGGTGTCTCTGAAGCTTCTTTCTGGGCGGTTTGACAGAATGAACGTACCGTTCATCACTTCCTGATTAATTATAAATGTGCGATTAAAAAGCGGACTAGACCCGTTCGAAGTAACAAACGATCTCAGAAAGCACTAACCATTTTTTCAAATTTTCGTCTATAACTTTCGATTCCGTAAATATATTTTTGAAAAAGCTAAGCATTCGCCAGAACCGCCTGCAAGTTCGATATAAATAGTTGGGCAGAAGCGTAGATGAAGAGTCGAATAGACGGACATGTTCGTGTGCATTCCGAATTTGAAACTGGCGAAGAATTCGTGCCATTTAAGGGGGTTATGAAGCGAAAAAAATTGAATTTTGATGCACTCTAGCTTAGGGAAGGCGTGACCAATTCCTTTGCATTTGCATTTGTACGGGTACTACAGCATCGTTCATGGAATATATGTTCAAATTTAATTGGCTTGTGAGTAATGAGCAAAAAACATATTTTCTATTCCATATGAAAAGTAAAGATGTTCTTGGCTTACCTAACACTTTCGACCTGTCCTTCGACCGATTTGGCCCATTTTGAATAACAACGTGCGTGCAAGATCTTTCAATGTTTTTGCCAAATTTGAAGTCGATAGCTTCATTTTTGCGGCCATAAAAATGTTTAGAACCGACGTTACACCAAGGGACAGACGGGCATAAGTAAATCGAGCCAGAATTTGATGCTCATCAGCAACAAACTCATATACCTGCTTTGGATTCGTTGAAGCTTCCTTCTGGGCATTGCAAACGCCCAGACAAATTCAATATACCTCCCATCCTTCGGTGATAGGCATAAAAATTGATCTCATTAAAACTATACAGCAACACTATAAATGTCACTTAGCAATTTAAGTAATGGGATACAAATTAAATTTCTACACTTAAGAATATTCTTTTTTTTTTTGAAAATAGGATACAATCGAATGCCACGCCTATAAAAATTGTATAAAACTATTCAGGAGACGTACAAGGGGAGATGAATTTATATTTTTGATACATTTATATAAAAAAGAATATATATTACATTTCAACCAAACCATTTCTGTGAATATATATGGAAAGAGAATATTCTTTTTTTTTTTGAAAATAGGATAAAATCGAATGCCACGCCTATAAAAATTGTATAAAACTATTCAGGAGACGTACAAGGGGATATGAATGCATATTTTTGATACATTTATATAAAAAAGATTATATATTACATTTCAACCAAACCATTTCTGTCTATATCGGTTTAGTAATACATCCATAAATAACGATAACATTTTAGTTCAAACTTTTTTACAATTCATTCTAGCGATCAACGAATGTTTGTGACGATTATCAGTTAACTATTTTAATTTAAATATTCAAAAAGGTGCCCGATCAAGTTTCGGTAAAAATATATAGAAACGCCGAAAGTGGGCTTGTCCCAGAAAAGGGAGTTGACATAAATATTCGCTGCTTTAGATCGTTAAAATCCAATATATAACATTTGAACATATATATTTTCTTATGCAGAATTTTTGAGCTAGAAATCACAAACCCGACAAATACAGTGTTAAGTGCAAACTGCACGGTTTACATCCTTCATGTTCACCGCAGCCATATCAGATTTTTGAAATAATCAGTGTTTCTCTTTTTGTCACATCGACAGTTTACCTAAAATAGAAATATTGTTGCGCAGCGGCTCGTCAAGTTATTGCAGCCTTCAAAGAAATAATTATTATTATGTTTGCCATATTGTGTGTTTGACAAATTTATTTATGTATTATTTGTTTTGATTCTCTCTAACGAAGTCAACAAATATAACCAAACAACAGGAAAAATTATATCTTGGTTGAATCTACAATTGAGTTAACAATGGAGTGGATAAAGCAGATTCAATTATGAAAGTTTTTTCACTTGAAAAGTGAAAAGGTTCGTGTCTACGATACTTGATTGAACCTGAAGTTAGGCAATACTTTTTTAATATTTAAAAGATTTACACTTGGAAAAATATTTAAAGCACTTCCAGGCATTGTAGAGTGCACAATACATCGGAAAATTAAAAATCAATAAATGTGATACTCCGAGCAAAAAGTACAGCAAATTGGGAATAAATTCTTTTAAAAACCATTTGCTTTAAGTTTTAGGAAAAGAAGGCCAAAGCATTTAATTCTCTCTAAAAAATAATGATTTGATTCTTGATTGGGAATTGCTGTGAACAAAAGGCGATTTCTGTGATTTCTTATGTAGCACATGAAAAGGATTCCTGATCTTTGGAGATTATCAGCAAAGGAAACAATATTGTCATAAGGATGGAACCACCGCCCAAATAAGCAATAAGTCCTCTATTGAAATCTGTTTTAACCAAAAGGAGTTATATGTACTGATAGCATTGTGAACAGTTAGGCATTCCAAGCTAGAATAGTAGGCATTTCCTGAGTGAGTTTTGCTACATGGAGCCGAATTTCCTTATACTGAAAACTCACTATATCAGGCGTTTTGGAATATTGCTCCCGCTTTTCATCTCATTGCAATCAGTTGGTGTTAGTAGCCTTCCTTAGGCCTTTTCACTATGCTTAGCCACTATAAATCGTGCCATCGTATTTATTCGGGTTTATTGTCGATTTTAATGATTCGGCCTCGTTGCGTCATGGCAGAAATAAATGAAAATCCGCAAATGCCGCAATAATTATTATTATTATTATTGTTATTATTATTCAAGCAGAGTAAAATTAGTTGCAATACTGTGCAACTTAAGGATAGTGCTTTCAAATGGACAAGTCACAGTATTGTTCAGTGCTATTTGCTCTCTCCATCTTAGAAAGAGGCGGACATTTATTCACACACCAGACGTATTACAATAAACAATCTTTCTTCAAAGACAAGTTCCCAGTAGTTTTTCGACATTTGATTTGTGTAAGTTATCATTTTAAATATTAGCTTAAAATTTTTTATTATATTTTTAAAAATTTGAATACTTTTTGAAATTTCATTATTCTATACCGTAGATACGCGGTGGTGTACACATTAAAACTCATTCCTAATTATTGATAAGACAGGCTGATATTTAAGTAACTGAAGCTAATAGCTTTGGTGCTTTTTTTTCTTTGTTATACATACGTACTAATATAAGAAAATAAGTACTATGGACAGTGAAAAAGTTCGCTTCAGTACTTTATTATCCACATCACCGCTTTATAGCTGTTAATAAAAAATGAAAAGGTAGTGACAATGTGCTTTGAGAGAAAGCAGATGATTTTCAAGTATCGCGTTAGAAACTTAAAAGAGAACAAATTCAAATCGTAACAGAGTGGGGAGAAAGAACAACAAGCGAAGAGCAATAGAAATCATGAAATAAAAGCAAAAACCCCTTTCGTTTACGTGCGTGAAATATTGTGCATATATTTGTTACTTGGCAGCATTGGGGAATTGTTGGCAATGCTGTTGAAAAGTTTGATTTACCCTGAGAGAAGATTTATTTGATCATTTTTCATCACAAGGGAATGGCTGGCATTGTTATTGCGAAACTTTACTTAATTAGTGATTGGAAAAGAGAAAAAGAAAGATAGAGAGAAAGAGGGGAAAAAAAAAAGAGAGAGAGAGAGAGAGAGAGAGAGAGAGAGAGAGAGAGAGAATCATCACTTTTTAACGAATGTTTGTCATAAGTATAAATTGAACTTTTTCTAATTCTAAACATTTTTCAGTCTCTTTTATTCTCATTACGCTTATAAAAGTCAAAACAAGTCTTATAAGAATTTACAGCAAAGACGGCAGCAGAGCAAGTTCGAACTGTTTTAAATCACATGCGTATATACATGGTACATATGTTTAGAATATTTAAACAAAATTTTAAATATATAAAAATAATATAATAAAAAAAAAATTTATTTATTAAATTGATATGTAAAGTAAAAAAAAGAAAAAAAAACATTTTGTGTTTATTTATATTTTCTCAATTTTCAATTTTTAACATTTAAAGTTAATCATAATAATTTCATTTTTTTTATATTTTTGACAT